GAGGGGTCTGGAGTCAGCGGGCGAAACCAGCCTGTAAGGAAAGAATTATGACAAAGCTAACCTGTGACCTCGGACCATTAGCCACAGAAATGGTCCACAGCTAAGTCTCTCATGAGACACAGACTGGAGACATGGATCGTTGTGTTGGCATAAAATTCTAAAGGAGCTCAATTCCTCACACCTAATGATAATCTAGGATCACTTCAGTCATGTATAATCATGTGAAATAGGTTCCTGTGGTGTGAGGGCAGTTAGCTGATTGCAGCCAGCCAGGCATGTTTGTGGAGACATCCAAGCAAGCCTTGAGCAGACACTACCACGGCTTGGGGCTGAAGGAAGTCCAGGATTACTATAGTCCGTACAAAGATTCAGTTGAGCCAAGCCAAATACTTTCTATATGACTTTACTACAAAAATGCATACAGTACAGAGTTCAACTAGAGAAAGCCGGTGCACAGCAACAAAGACCCAACACAGCCAAAAATAATAAATTAAAAAAAAAAAAAAAAAGAAGTTTTACCTGCAGGGCCTCAAGCAAGTTCGAGGATTTGGTAATAGTTTTGTTAAAGAAAAATCTGCCAAGATGTGAATAGAAATGGGTAGAAATGCAGAACTTGTTAGACTGGGCCAAGAAATGGCAGTCTTATCTCACTCCGCCTTGCCCCTGAGACACTGCTGTAAGGTTGTCAGTTTCCCCAAGGGGAACGCAGATAAAAGTATTTCTTCCACAGGACAAAAAAAGAATGCCTAGGATTCATCTTATGTCCTTTGGTTAGTTTCCTACACGTGACATCTCCTTGATCCACACAAAACAAACACACACATTCCTGAATTACCTCTACCTGGTTTGGGTGTGTCTGTCTGTCTGTCTGTGTCTCTTTCTCTTCCTCTCCCCCACGGCCTCCATTCTCTCTCTCCTCCCCTGTCTCTCTCTCAATTCTAACTAGAACTTGATACTTTAAAAATTCTCTAAGAACAAGTGGAGGAGATCTTTAAAGTTTCATTTTAGTAATGCAGCTCAATAGAAAATAGCTCCACGGTGTGTGGGAAAAGAAGACTACATCAGAGTCACAACCGGTCTTTTTCTTCATCCCTGAACGGGACGCACATTTGCCACTGGTTCTATCCAATTAACCGTCCACCCCCTCCCCAAACAATCCACTGCAATGTAGGAAAGGGACACTTCAACGCGCTGCAGCTGGGCAGCTGTATGGAGGTCGGAAGGTAAAGAGAACCTCTTCTCCCCCTGACAAACCCGTCTTATTCATCGGATGCTAAGAGGATGAAAGTGAAAGGAATCACATCCCAAATTTATTTACGGAGCTCCCTGTAAAATGACTCTATATAAGGCTGATATTGGAATGAAAGTTGAAAGTAAACCTTTTTACCATTTATGTCATTTCACAAGGAGAGAGAGGAGTCTTGAGGCTGGGCCTGGACTGAGTTTGTTACCACTGACACTAGATCCAAATGAGTTGACCCACTTTTGCAATCTGCCCAGAACACCTGTAAGGTTCAGATCTATGACTGTGGCAGTATTTCCATCTCATTGCCTGACCAGCGTCCCACCTCAAAATTTTTTTTCTGAATTTGGTAAGATTTTGGACTGTTCCCAAACTTCCATTGCTCCCAGTGAGGCAGGAAGACTGTCTCCACTGGCACCCTGGAATGGACAGGGGCTTGGGAGAGACTGAAAGTCTTAGACAAGGGACTAAGGACCCTCGGTTCAGCCAGCATCAGAGTTGTTTTCTTCTCCTTCTGAGGGGACCTCACATGGAAAGCTGCCAAGCCAAGAGGTCAGCTCAGGCTCCCAGGAACTCAATAAAAATAACATCCCTAACTCCTCCCGGTGCCGTATCCTGAAAATCCCACACCAGAGACGTCAGCCCAGCCCCTGTGCAGCCCCTGAACCCCTCTGCTTCTCAACCTCCCACACAATCTCCCAACCCACCATTTCTCTCTCCCCGGCTAATTTTTTCCCCCTTAATTCTCATGGCTCTTAGTAGGGAGAAGGGAAAATAACAAACAGACAAGAGAATGAGAACATCAGATTTTCTAAGTGTGACTGTTTCTATCACACCGCAAGATTCCTTTCGCCTTCCACAGGGTTCTTGTTGAAATGTCAGTCTTGAAACAGAAGTGTCCTCAGGCAGTGCTCTCTGTCAGGGTTTGAGTTTGGGATCAAGAGTGCTTATAACCCATTCCCGCATGGTTCTCAAGATGAGCCGTGTGGAAATGCTTCATTCATTCACTCACAAATAGGTACAGTGCACCCCATACAAGATACACAGTCAAATGGGGCCTAGTCCCTGCTCTCATGTGTCCCATGATTTTCTTCCCCACAGTCTCCCAATTTCTCACCTGGATAAACAATGTGACAGCCTCACAACTTCAGGTCCCTTCCTCAGTGTCCCACTTTCTCTCCAGTCCACCCTTCATACTGTCTCAGGGAGATTCCTAAACACCACTCTGCTTCCCTGGTCAGCTTACCCCTTGTTCAAAATGTTCAGTACTTTGCTGTCAAATCTCAGGGTCTTGGCATATGCTGTCCTCTCTACTTAGAATGCTTTTCCTCCTCCTTCACCAGGGGCACTCCTACTGATACTTCAAAACTCAGTTGAGATGTCACCACCTCCAGGAAGCTCTCTCTGACTACCAGCCCCACTCTTTTAAGTTAGATGCCCCTCCATTCACTTCCCTTAGCACTTTGTCAATACCTCTGTCAGAGCAAAGAGATATTGAATAGTAATTGTCTTATTTACCCACTTTCTCTAACTAGACTGAGAACATGTTGTAAATAGAAGCTATACCATTTATCTCTCTTTACCTGATCTCCCCAGTAGACTGCCTAGCACATAATCAGTGCTCAGAAATTGTTTGATGAGTGAAGAAGCTCAAAGTTGAGGAGGGAAGACTGAGAAGCATACTTGTGTAATGCGGTGTCATAGATAACATAATGGGGTGCAGTGATGACCGAGCAGAGGGATTACACACTTTTGCCTGAGGAGAAGACAGGGTCTAGGAAGGCCTCCCAAGGGAAAAGAGCTTGGGCAGGCCTTGAGGAAGGTTGGGAGAGCACCAGGCCTATAGGGAGGAGAAGGCAAGAGAACAGTGGCATATGGAAGGCCCTCCCTGCCTCAGTCAGCATGATGCATCTGGGGAGATCTCCCTTAGAAGAATGATACTGGTGACAGTGAGAAGACATTGGTGGGAGAGTATTGGAATAATCCAGGTTAAGGCCTGAATTGAGCTAGGAGCTCAGCAGGACCCCCAGGTTTCTGGCTTGGGTAAATAAATGGTGGTGCTATCACCCAGGGTTAGGAATTGAGAGGACAAACTATTTTGGGAGAAAGACACACCCGGTCTGCTGGTGTTGAGCGGGAGTGGCCTGCCGGACATCGAGGTGAACATGTTTAGTAATCAGTCGGGTATGTGAGTCTGAAGAGAGTAGCCGGGAATGAAGACTCTATTATAACAACTTCATTGGAACTTTTGTTTTTATCTCCACAATTTGATACTGTGCCTTGAGGTTTCAGTGAGGACTGCTGGGAGAGGGATAATTGGTCCCTCTTCTGCTACTGGCTTGGCTGTGTGGCCTCAGGCTAGCTGCTGGACCTCAGGCTGTGCCCGTTGCCTCCTGGGAAAGGTGACAGTTAGGGAGACATGAAGAAAAATGGTGCAAACACTGGCCCTACAACTAATTAATTTAGTCCTGTCTTTTGTGATTCTTCTATGGAGTGTGGAGTTCATGCCAGTGAGGCCAACCTCTTCCACTGCCTTAAAACGGTGCTTCCAAAGGCCACTGAGTACACAAAGGGGGAAGTCTTTACCTTCATTACATTGGGATCCTTGCCCCTTAGGGAGTCCTTTTTAGATGGAGATGTCACTTCCTTGCTACAATAAACTTGTGTTTGTTCTCCCCCGTCCCCCTTTGGGGGAAGGGGCTTATTTTAATGCCCTTTTGCCATTGTGATGGCAATTTTTTGTTCCTCTTCTTGCCTGGCCTGAAGCATCAACCTAGATATTGCTCCCCTGTAGGGAGTTTATTTGCAATTCTGTCTGCATTATGGAGTTTAGGCTGAGATCTGCTTTGTCTCAGGAACCCAACTAAAACAGCATTGTTGCAAAGCAACTTATTGTGCTTTTCCTGGCTAATTTGTCTTAATTGACTTGCACTGAAATCAAACATATTTTAATTCAAAGGTTCCTGGCAGTAATGATACTGTGGGAGTTACATGAGGTGCTCGTGGTTGAACCTCTTTTATTCCAAATACCTATTCACAAAGGCTAAACTGGAACTGCTAATGGAACACAGGCACTTCCAGCAATTCAAGAGGGATTGGTATTTAACCAAACCCTGGCAACCAGGTGTGAGCATGGCAAAGCTTTAGCAAGGGCATCACTCGTGTGTGGAGAATGGAGTCATTTTTAATTCAAAGGACTGTGATAGAAAATACATCATCAAACTTGAATATCAACCAACCACTGTTTACGAAGAAAGCAATAGCATAATAGCACCCAGGAAAATTGAAATGATGCATAACAAAAATTCTCAGAGAAGCCCCAGAACAAATCATTCCATCCAACACTTTGAAGTAGATGCCTGCCTAATGTGTTCAATGAAAAAGCCTTAAAATATTTACTTCTTGATTCAAAGCAAAGATACCAGCTTACTTTGAATTGCAGTATCAAACATATTCCCTAATTTTTTAAGAAAATCCTAAATAGTTCAACCGTGGCCTCTGCCATACTGGCTACATATAAGTGACATATCACAACCTCCATGGTCTAATATGTGAGTTTCTATAAAGATAAATAAAGTTTGGTGGTCAGATTCAGGATGTAGCCAGGGATTAGCCTCTCCTAAGAAGCAGCAGGCTGCAACCAAATTGTTCAGTTGCTCTCTGGAAACTGGTCATCTACGGATGCTTCTCCAATCTGTTGGAAATGCAACTTGAATAAAACCGCCTTTGGCTGACTTGATGTCTCTTTAATTAACAGGTAGGAGATCAGATCATTGAAATCAATGGGGAGAGCACCAGAGACATGACACACGCCAGAGCAATAGAGCTCATCAAATCTGGAGGCAGAAGAGTCAGGCTACTGCTGAAGCGCGGGACGGGGCAGGTCCCAGAGTATGGTACGTTTCACGTTTTGATTCACCTTTTTTCGGTTTCTTCTGTGTACTGTAAATGCCTGTGCTTATTTATAAAACTACATCTGTTCCCTAATTCTACCTAAATATATATTTAGTGATCAATAGCTATAGGTATATACACATGTGTATATTTAAGCACAAGGTATATATTTCTGTGAGCTCTTTCTTTTGCTCCCTTATTTAGGTAATGTTGAAAGTAGCAAATGTAGGACCTTCAGGGCATCTCTGAGTGTGCGGGGAGTTCTTGCCACGTTCCTATATTAGAACTTTTGTAGTCCTCTGTTCATTTGAGTCCACAGTAATTTATCAATTATTTCCTGAAATGGCTCGTGCATCAGACTGTCCCGTGAGATGTGTAACCGGGGCCAGGGGACAAGCGAGACCAAATCTTCAAGGTGTGAAGATTAAAACATAAACTTCAGTTCATGCAGTGGTTGCATTGCCTTGGTATTTAGGGATATCCCAAAAAATCACTCCTGTGTTGTATATCTGGATGCTTTTGAGGAAGGCTTTAAAATGCATTTTAATTCATAGGTTTGCCATCAGAAGTCTTTAATGGTGTTATTTCCCAACAGCCCATTTAAGGCAAGGCTGACATCATTACCTTAGCATATCAGAAAGTGCTGCGTGGTCTTTACATGAAAAACAGAGAAACCTGAGCTGGTCTTTAATTAATCACAGGGATTAACAGAGAGACAAACACAGACAGATATCAGTACAGAGGCAGCGCAGATAACACCTGTCCAGATTAGGGAAATAGGATCTAACTGCTGATCGAATGAATAGTTCAGATTGTTTGTTGATCTAGATAAATTTGATTTTCATTTTCGCCTTTCCATTCCCCCAAATCTAAATAGTACTTTTTCCTCTCAAATTATGCTTGCTGCCTAAGTTACCTAATAATTGACTGAACACTTCCTTATTAGCAGGACAGATATAATCCTGCATTCAGTTGAAACATCTGAATTCAATGGCCCTTAAATACTTTGTTTCCAGAGTGTTGAACACACCCAAAGCCTACAGGAAGGGCTGGTTAAGCCCTCACATTAAGAGTAGGACAGCATTCAGAAATTTCTGTAGGGTTGGCTGTATGCCCAAGGAAGTATTTCATAGCTTCCCATCCTTAATACTTGGATCTAATTCAATAATTTTAATTATTAATATTAGCAATAAGCACAGGTCTGAGCCTGTGTAATGACACTGGCATTCATCCCTTTGTAAAGAATCTGAACTCTTGAAATAGAATACCTTTTTGCACCCTAGAGCACATAAAGGGATTCAGTAATATGAAACCGACCTGTGAGATTCTGTCACTTCTGAAAAAGATCTCGTTTTAAAGGTGTGTTTCACTCCATGACAAGACCTGTTATCTATATCCAGGGGTTCTCATAGAGTTAATGCTGTTCTTATTGTTCTAACAAATTAATCTTAAAAATTAACCTGAACAACATGGCTCTCCTGAAGTTTCTATTCTTTTTGTAGAATCACTATTTGGCCCCGACTCCGAGCACCCACCACACCAGCTGCCACTCTGTAGAGAGCAGTTAGAATAGTCTGCCAACCAGCGTGGCATAACTCAGACTGTAATACATGAGCATGAAGCTGCCTCAAAGCAAAAAAATGAAAATATGTTTTTGAACAGCACAAAAATTCAAGATCATGTTGACATTATCCCATTAATTCTTAATGTCGTCTGAAAATATCTAGTTAAGGTTAAATTCCAAAATTAACCAACACAGAGAGTTTGATAAATATCTGTGCACACTTTTGAGGGACCCATTGTCAATACTCTTAACTCCAGCAGTACTGCAGAACTTCTGAATGTATTCTTCTAAAATGTAACATTAAATCATATACACTGGTAGTGGTAGAGCTTGTCTGCTACTTTTGATGTTAGATTTGACATGGATTTTGACTGTAAAATAATTCTAGAGGTTATGTCACAAAAGAACAAATTTAAAAGAGTAAAGCAATCTCCTTTAGGGAAGTAAAAGGATCGTCATAAACTAAGTAAACATTAGTTCTTCAGGAAAATCTAAGTCAAAATTATGCGTAAGAAACCAAGAAGGTTAGGGATCACATCAGCATTTTTGAGGATAACGCCTCAAATGATATTTCTGGAACCTCACAACGACTAATGAGGAGGCTGTTTCAGGGTCCCCGAGACCACCCCACATTCAGAGATTTGCTTATGAGACTCCTGGGGCACAGAATATAGTTGTGCTCACAGCTCAGCTTTAGGACAGTGATGTAGTAAGGACACGCCGTGGGATCATAAGGTGGAATCGGAGGAATCCACGTGCAGGCTTCCTTATGCTTTCTCTGTCTCCCATGAGAGGTCACCCAGAGAGCATTCTGCAAGAAGGCCTTTCTAAGGATAGCAGTCCCAAGCCTGCTCTCGGAACTTGTCCGGCACCAGGAACGAGCCACGAAGTGGCCACACGTTCACAGACTATGCAGATGCCCCCAGCGTATGAGGAGTGCCCAAAGCTAAGGAACGTCACGATTCCTCCAGCATCAGTTAAATAGACTCTCTCGTGAAACACAATTTGCTTATTTTTGTTGTTGTCCAAGATAGGCTAGAGTGTATTTTAATAAAATGGGCAAGGGGTGCAGGTCACAAAACAACAGCAACAAGAACAATGAACGAAAATCTTTGAGCTTACTAGTAGATGTGACCAAGAACATTTCTGTCTGCTTCGTCCGTATGCACCCTAATGACCGGAAACCTGATTTTTCTGTTTGCTTCGTCCGTATGCACCCTAATGACCGGAAACCTGATTTTTCTGTCAACTATGAGTATAATCTTGTGTTTGTTTCCTTTGTTTGCCCTTTAAGATCCCAATCTTGGCATAAAATCTAGCCTTAAAAGCTTGTTAAAGGGAGTTATCAGAATCCATAGGAGATGTTACCTGTTAGGGAAGTGTGGAGGCTTAACCCAGCCTGGGCAAGAGTGAACTCTGAAGGTGAAGAGACTGGCAAGCAGCCTCTGGAGGGGTTTAGGTGATAACCCCCAGCCCTCCCTCTGATACCTTCAGAATTCAGAGCAGCTTTGAAGCAAGACCCTTATCTGGACTTGTGGACACGTCAGGGAAAAGCTGATCTCTGTCAAGAGAAATACGAAAACTCTCTTGCTCAGAGCCATTAAGGTGATCTGTGACAGAGAGATAGATAAGCACAGGTGCAGTGGAAAGAAAAACACACCCCAGGTGATCTGTCAGATTGTCGACTACAAATTGACAGTGTGAAGCCAAGTGAGCTGAGGAAGGGAATAAATATGCTGCAAATTTGCCATCCATAATTACCATGAGACTCGTCGGCAGACACACCTCAGCCAATTCAGAGGCGAAAATCAGCAAATGCAGCCACGAGCGAGCCTAGTGGCTGCTCCCAGGGGTGGCTGAGCAGCTGTGGGGAGGGTGGGGAAATGATAAGGGCTTCGGCAGAGAAGCTGCTTTCATAGCTAAGTCCTTGAAAGAGCAGCTCAGGAGATAGACACTTCAATTCCACTCTAGTCCTCAGGATAAGAATGTGTTGATTATAAACTCAATGAGAGCTTGGGTTCCCCCTCCCCTGACACATACATCTCAACAACTAGCAGGAAGAAGGAAACTTGACTCCATCATACTGAGGAAAGGATCAAAAGATGATACAGCAGAAGCAGCGGCCTCCTGAATACTGGTTCTTGCTGTTACAAGTAAATCTAAAAAGGTTAAGAGAAGAGAAAGCATGCATCCTGGTTCTAAAGCTGCATAGGAGTGCATTATGCAGATTATCTCCCTGTCTTGACATACAGGTGTCCTTCATTAGCATTCAGGGACTACACTGAACATTTGCTTGATGTACACCCTGAGCCACAGAGCCAGGGCCAGGGTAAATGGAGGTGCCACTGGATGAAAAAATGTCCTCCACAAGCAGTTCAGACCAACGCAGAGCCTTGCCCTGGTAATATTTGCTGTTCAAATCTCATCAGAACAAAACAGAATTATGCTTTCCCGTCTTGGTTGGTGATCTGACCTGTTGATTCTCTTAAGCAACATTACAGGTCTTTATGACAAGAATGCTGAAGTGAGTTTGATTGTAAATGATCTCAATAGTTTTAGGAGGCCAGGCAGGGTTCCCAGGAGGAAGCAAAATTCTCAGAATACCAGTGGCCCAGGGACAACTAACACCAAATGTCCACATCTCCCTTTGGGGAAAGAAATAGCCGATCCACGAGTTAGACCTCTGCCTGCACTTCCATTTTCAAAGTTAATTGTATCTTTGATAGGTGTTGAGTGTTACAGGCCTTTGGTAAATGAAACTGTTTACATTTTATAAGGGTAATATAACTACATTAAGTAAGAAAAGATCTATTTGAGCCATACTATATATATTCAGACTATAGCTGAAGGAATGAATGGGTAAATAGTTAAAAGTCTTCCTTTAACCAGTAAATAAAAATGATTTACAATAATATTAGAGCACCAGATTAAGCAGTACCAGTCTCTACTTATATGGCACTAAGCAGTGTTTGTTTATTCTTCTTTAATAATATGCATTAGCATGTGAATGTTATAAGCCTACCCCTATAATCTTGTTTACAATTACTTGTTCAAATCCTTTCTTCCCTCTGATCATACAAAGGTCAACTCTAGACATTGTACTCCTACCACATATTCCATGTAAGGCAGAACCTGTAATTAATATCATTAATTAATGTCATTACTATTTCCTCAACGAAAGCAGGATTTTTCTGAGCACCTACTATGTGCAAGGCACTTTGCAGGCACTGAAGGTAAGACACAGTCCTGGCCCTCAGTGAGCTGAAAGTCTAAGAATGAGGATACATATAACAATTGATTCTAATAGTGTGGTGACTGATTAAAAGGTCTCAAAGGATCTGCTCTAATGAAAAAATTTTAATGGGTTTTATTAGTTATTCGTGGAATTTAATAAGTACTTTTAGAGTGTTAAGGATCCTTGAAAAGCACTTGGCTTCT